CAGGAACTTACTGTGGAACAGACCATCATTTTCTAAGTTCAAGATGAAGTGGAACAAAATCAAAACAAGTCCATGACAGCTAAAATTTGACCTTGAGTATATACCACCTGAATTCAGAGACCATCTGAAGAACAGATTTGATACATTGCATAGCAGTGACCAAAGATTAGATGAGTTGTGGGATGACATCCAGAACATTATACATGAAGAAAGTAAAAGGTCATTAAAAAGATAGGAAAGAAAGAAAAAACCCAAATGGATATAAGACTATCTGGGCTTTAAATATGAGAGGAGGTGAAGAAAGGTAAGGATGGTTAAGAGAAAGAGGGCATGGCGCTAAATAAAAATCTGATAATAGTCATAGCCATCATCTGTTCAACATGTGTACTAATAATTTTATACAAATAATACCTAATCCTTACATCTGTGACAAGTATGCATTCTGCAATTACTATTCTCTTCTTCCTCCTGAAGAAAATATAAAGAATTTATTGAGAGTCAATATGTGCCTCAAATTTACATATGTGATTTTTAATCCTTACATTTGAAGATTTGATGCATCAGATTGCTGAAAGTCAGCAAGATCCAGTGACATTGTTGGGATTCAAACCCAAACCTTGCCATTATCCTACAGCACCTGAAGCCCCCTCCCATTGGCACTGTAGCTTCTACAGAGGACAGATCAAATGCAAGCCTCCAATGATTTCTCTAGTTCTGGAGTTTTATAAATTTATTAACCAATGGAAGCTTCAACTGAATGGAGGTACATCATAGTTAACCCTCTTATCAATTTAATTTTGATTAGGGATGAAAAGAAATGGAAGGACTAAATAAGGAAAATTAATGAGTTATTTGGCACTCATTACGTAAGTAATGAGTGTTACTTATTTATTTAAGATTACTTAAGATGCATGATGTCACTCATTGTCATGACAACTTAGAAGCAGGGTACTATTATCATTCCAGATGAGAAAATTAAGCATTGAGAGGTTAAATAACAAGCCCAAGGTCCCATTTCTAGGTGTAACAAAGGCAGGCCTTGAATCCAGGTATGTCTGACTCTAAAGATCCATGGTCTTGTCACTGATCCATTGTTTGACTTAATAAATATTTACTGAGCCTACATATATGTATAGTACTAATTTCAAGTGACACAAATCTTGTCCTCTCATACATAGAGCTTTCAATCTAATTAGGGGAGAAAATATTGAAACCACAAAAGGGAAATCCAGGAAGAAAGATGAATATGGCAGAAGGAAATTGTGGAAAGGAGAGATTGAGGATGCTTTCCAGATGATGTCATCTGGAAGCTTGGGCTTGAAGATAGAGTTACCCAGGCAAACAGTGTATGTGTGTGTGTAATGGTGTAGAGGAAGAAGGAAGGAAAGAGGACAAGACATTATCAAGCACAAGAATGAGCAATTATCAATATCCAGAGCTGCACTAATGAGGACTGAAAGTCTGGTGGGCTGGGTTGGAATGAAGAGGGATTAAAGGAGACTGATGTGAAATAAGTGATGGCATTAGAAAGCTGTATCATGTAGATATTGTTATGGATTCTGGATCCTATCCTAAGAGTCTTACAACAGGGGAGTGCCATGATTTGAGTTATACTGTCTTTCTGGATTCTCCATGGAAGTATATTTGAGAAGGTCAGGAAAAGGGCCAAGGAAGTCAGGCAGGAGATTGTGGCAGTGGTCCAGGTGGGACAGGTGGTGGTGTGGCTTTTGATAGTGGGGTTGGAGGTGAAGAGAAATTGACAGGTTCAAGAAAGATCTAGGAGTGAGGAGTCTGACTTGAGGGAGGAGTTGGGATGGTACATCCATGCACATCACACATACAGCCACTCCTCCCAGTCATATTGGGAAAGTATGGAACCTACTAGATATGTTCTACAAAAGAACACAGATGATAAGGAAGAAATAGTTGGAGGGAAAAGAGCACTGGAAATCTGGATTGTCAGTCTTAACAATGTCTCTCTCCTCCGAAGCTGAGTGACCTCAGATTGTCATTTTTCCTCTCTGGGCTTTGTCATACTCATCTTTTTAAAATGACAGAAGGACTGGATGACTCCTAAAATCCCCTGGAGAGCTAATTTATGATTCAAAAGCCAGCTTCTGATTACCTGTGTGATTTTCTCCAGATGACTGATGTCAAATGTCCTGTGCTACCAAAAACTCCAGTTGCTGTTGAGTCAATTCTGACTTCTGATGACCCCATGTGGACAACAGTAGAACCGTGCTTCATGATGTTTTCAATGGTTGTGATCTTTCAGAGAAGCAGACTCCCAAGCCTCTCTACTGAGGCATCTCTGGGTGGACTTGAATGGCCAGTCTTTCAGTTTTCTATCAGCTTATTGAAAGATTGGCCATTCAAGTCCACCCAGAGATCTTTCAGTTTTCTATGAGGTTATTAGGAGCTCTGGTAGTATAGTGCCTAAGGCACTTGACTGCTAACCAGAAGGCTGGTGGTTCAAACCCACCAGCCACTCCTC